CATGTGGATATCCAAGATGTATGAGTATTTACAGAGCCTGAAAGAACCTCTTATAACTTCTAAGATGCTGCTTCCCTGGTGTGGCCCTGGAGCCGGTCGCCAGCCAAGGTGAAATCCATTCAGACCCAGCTCAGTTTGGGGCTGATCGGTGCTATGATCTGAGCCATAGGTGGGCACAGAAAAGTTATGAGAATGGGAAACAAATTGAACGTCAGGTTATTTTTGCCTGAGCCCTTCACCTCTGCAGCCCCTTGGCCACTTGACTCCTGATTCAGTCCAATAACTCTGTCTCAGGCCTGGATGGGGCACCGTGATTTTCCAAGACAAGGTCAGGATGCAGGTGGGTTTTAGAGCACTGTGAAAACATCAGTGCTTAGCATGAGAGCTTGGCTGTCGCTCAGCTATTGACTCTCTAGTGCTCATCTATAACAAAGAGAGAGACGACGGGTTGAGGTGATCTCTTTGATTGGAGCATCTTCCGTCAGAGAGAGAGAGAAGCTTTCGAGCCACCCAGAGCTCTCCAGCCCAGACCTCAAGAACAGCTTTGGGTAGTGTGCAAGCTTGTCTCTCTCACCAACACAAGTTGGTGCAAAGATCTAACCTCCCCCTCTTGTCTCTCCAATATCCCGGGACCGACATGGCTACAACTGCACTGCACAGGGTGAAAAAGACAGTGTTTGCAGACACAGACAAAGATCAAGCCTGAGGCCGAGCCCAGCAGGCCTCTCTGACATCTGGGGATGGACCATTAACACAGCCTTGGCACTACCAGAACTGAAGGGAGGAGGTCGGGCCATGACCCCACATCCCGTCCATCCCGGGCAGAGGGGAGCACAGGCTGCACCTGCTGCTGGATTCGATCAGCGTCTGCCCTGTCCCAGGGCTGCCCATTGCTCCTGGGGAATCTGCCCCAGAGCCAGGCAAGGAGTCCCAGTCCCACCCCAGCCCACAGAGGGGAACAGAGCCCTGGTCTACATTGAGGGGGGCGGGGGTATCGATCTAAGTTACGCAACTTCAGCTACGTGAATAATGTAGCTGAAGTTGACGTACTTAGATCGACTTTCACCGCGGTGAGTCGTCTGCTGCCGCTCCCCCATCGACTCCGCCGGCGCCTCTCCTGGCGCTGGACTACAGGAGAGCGCTCGGGGGTCAATTTATCGCGTCTAGACTAGGGAGTAGCGAATCCAGAGGGTGTGAAGACGGACCCAGAGACAGACATGCAGAATCCCAAACCAGCAGCACAGGGACCCAGAGAGACACACAAATGTCCCACACTGCCCTTCATCCCCAGGGCCCTGCTGGGTAACACCACTGGGCACCTACCAGGTACTCAGAGCTTCTCTTCTCTCCAGTCAGTTTCCATCCCAGGAGCTTTTCTCTCTCTTCCTTCAGAGCCTGCAGTCGGGTCTGGAACTGTTCCTGGGCAAAGAGAAATGCGGGGGGCGGAGGGAGTCATTTTTTTTCTTTTGGAGCTTGAGGAGCAATTTTCTTTTGAAATTTCACTTCCCCCCACCCCGTATCCCCCGGCAATAACACCGGTGCATGGATGTAGCTTTCCAGTTTACTTAACCCAGCAGCAGACCGGGAGGGCACCCACAGGGCAATGCACAGGCCAGGCCAGGGACGCTGCAGGAACTGGGGGCAAGCAGCAAGCAGCAGAGGAGAACTAGTTCACTCTGACACCTGGGGGCTAGGAGCACAAACTGGATCCAGGCAGCCAGTGCACAAACTCTAGTGCAGAGGTGGGCCAACTACAGCCTGCAGGCCACATCTGGCCCACAGGACCCTCCTGCCCGGCCCTTGAGCTCCTGGCCCAGGAGGCTAGTCCCCGGCCCCTCCCCCGCAGCCTCAGCTCACTGAGCAGCCAGTGCAAGGCTCTGGGCGGTGGGGCTGCGCGCTCTTGCCAGGCAGCGCAGCTGCAGGGCCGCGGCCTGACCCGGGGCTCTGTGCTGCGCGGTGGCGTGGCTGGCTCCAGCCGGGCACCCCGGCTGCCTGTCTTGGTGCTCTCGGCGGTGCGGCTGTTGCGTTGCCAGCCACCGGGGCTCCAGGCAGCGCGGTAAGGGGGAAGGGGGAGTGGGCTAGAGGGCAGGGGAGTTCGAGGTGGTGGTCAGGGGACGGGGCTGTGGATAGGGGTCAGGGCGGTCAGAGGGCGGGGAATAGGGGGGGGTTGAATGGGGGCAGGGATCCCCGGGGGGCAGTCAGGAAGGAGAGGGAGGGTTCGATGGGGCGGCGGGGGGCACTCAGGGGTGGGGAGTCCGGTGGCAGTCAGGGGACTGTGAGGGGTGGATGGGGCAGGGGTCCTGGGGGGGTTTATCAGGGGGCAAGGGCCAGGCCATGCCTGGCTGTTTGGGGAAGCACAGCCTCCCCTAACCGGCCAGCCATACAATTTTGGAAACCCGATGTGGCCCTCAGGCCAAAAAGTTTGCCGGCCCCTGTAGCACTGGCCTCTCAGTGTGTTCAGTGAAGATCTCTTTCCTACAACTCTGCTCTCAGATTGCTGATCCGAGTAAAACAGATGGTGCCAGGTTTGCTCCAAAAATTCCTCATCTGTCCTCCAGTCAGGAGCTCTGACTGCACCCCTGCCTCACCTCGCCTCCACCAGCATCTTTTGGGGACCAAGAAGCAAGTTATTTCTCTGGTGGTTTGAAATGAATGAAGCAGAGCGTGGGCGGATAAATTCCCGCAGTCTGACTGAATCTTTCCAAAGATCGCAGGATTTAAGAACGGTGGGGGCTGGCAGTGCTGGTTCCGGTGTGTCCCGCTCAGCAGGAACGTGTGTTGGAACAGAAATATTCGCTGAGGAAAAGGGCATCACAAGATAATGAATATTTTTCCCCACCCACTCCTGGAAATTGGTCCTCAAGTCAGAGCAGAGATCCATGTGTAAGGTTCAAAATCTTTATCACAACACTGTAGTTAGCAAAAAAACATCCTTTATGACAGCAGGAAATGACACTAGAGGTCAGGTGACACGAGAAGGAAACCCAAACATTGGAAAGCCTGGGGACCCCCAGGTATGGCCGCAGGCTACGTGACCTCTGCATGAGCAGCTCTACTCTGGGCCTGGAAATATATCTGAAAAACCCCATAGGTACAAACACTGACGCCGGGCGGAGATTTCCTACCTTGTACTCCTGGGCAGCCTCCTCTATGGGAACCCCCGTGTGAGATCTGTGAGCCTTGGATTTATCACACACCAGGCAGATGGGGGTTTCATCCTCCTGGCAGAAGAGTTTCAGGGCCTCCTGGTGCCTCTCACACACTTGCTCCCCTCCTGAGCCTTTGGCTGCCTGGAAACTCAGCCCTCTGGCTATTTCGATAACTCTCGCCAGTTCCCTGCTGGGCCTGAAGTTTCTCTGCTGGGCGGTTTCTCTGCACTGGGGGCAGGAGAAGTTGGGCTCCGACTCCCCCCAGCACTGGCTGATGCAGTCTCTGCAGAAGTTGTGCCCGCAGTGGATAGACACCGGCTCTTGGAAATACTCCAGGCAGATGGGACAAGAAAGTTCATCCCGGAGACTTTCTGCCCTGCTCTCTCCAGCCATGGCTCCCGGCTGGAAGGGGAACACAAAGCTCCTTTGAATTTCCAGTGTCTGGGACAGGAATTGGGTGTTTCCCTTCCTGGCTCTGTCTCATTGGCGGAGCTAGAATCAGCTGGGGCTGTGAGTTCTCCCCGCCCCTGGGGGCTCTGATGAGAAACCTGACCCTCTCTCTGCTGGGAAGAGTGCTCATCTCAAAAATAAGCTGAGTTAAAAACCTGCCTTCCTTTTCTCTTCTTTTAATTTAAGAGCATCTACAAGCAAGCAAGCAAGCAAGCAAGCGAGTGATTAACTCGTGACCACGGCTGTACACTGACAGAGCTCCATTTAAGTCAATGAAGCTACACTGATTTACTCCCCCTGGAGCTCTTGCCCATTCACTCCAATGGAGCAACACCGATGTGCACCACAGGGAGATCTGGCCCTCTTCATTGAATGAGATGAGTACACACTTAGTGGCAGGGATGAATTTGGTCCATTGCCCTTAAACAGAAATGGCTACAGCTACCCGTGGACAGGCTGGCCCATATGTCTTGGCTTCATTCAGAATGTCTGAGACATGATCGCTTGCCCCTAGTTTGTGTGTTGTTTTTTTCATTCCACCACCTGTCTTTGCCCAAATCCCACAGGCTTTCATAGCCATTTGCTGATTGATCTGAACAGCAGGAGACTGGAGTCTGATAGGACTTCTCTCTCCTCCAGCCTCACCTTCCCCATCTCCTGCCTGCTCATCCTAGGGGCTCGCCCCATGGCCACTAGCTCACAAACCTGCAGCAAGCTGGCTCTCTATGAATCCTATTGAAAGAATTGCAGAGGAGAAACCTCAGGGCAACAACACGGAAAAGCAAAGCTGGAGGAGACAAGGGCAGTGCTAGGACACACCCCCTCTCGTTGGCTTTATGTGGTTATTTCATACATTGGCTTAGTGCAAGAGATCTTGTCCCTCTAGTGGCCAGCCCCAGTCACGAACAACCAACTCATGGCTCGCAGCTCAAACGAGTTACTGCTTTAAGGCAAGGGGTCTGGGCTTGTGATTTCAGGGCTGAAATTCACGCTTTAGATCCCCACTGGTAACTGTGACATGTGTGTGTCAGGACGCCATTTTATAGAGCACACACCATATGTGCAAGGTCTCATCAAACAGACCATGATGCTCTTTTGTTTCTGAATGTGGCCAGTAGAGGTACCGAACAACTACGCATGTGACCCTGGTCTATGAGAAGTTTGGACCAGTAACCGGCTACATGTCACTGTACTGTCTGAATGCTTGATGCACCTGGGCTGGGAAATTCGGATCCAACAGACAATGGATGAAAGCACCTGAATGTGGCCTAGCAGAGACATGATCATTACTATTGTTGCAATTCCAGAAGGGTTGCTTTTGTTGCAATTCTAATGGCCTGTAACCCACCTCGACCCCACCGTGCATGTCAGTAAAAAGCAAACAAACCCAACACTGGTAAATCAAGTCGTTCTGATGGCTCCTGGTTTATTGCTATATTTTCCCCCGCAGGAGACAAGAGAAATCATTGTGAGACACAAAAATTTCAGCATCTTTACAGCTATGAAGATACAGAATCCACTTGGTGAAAAAACAAAAAAGCCGGCAGCAGTCAATGATTTATGGGAACCATAAAACACAACCTCCATGGGCTTGATATAAAAATAGCTTTGTTAAATTCTAGAAAACCCTCATCAAAAGTGATGACTAACCATTTTCTCTTGCCACTCCCCTGCCCCAAAGATTTGCCACCTGTACTGTTCTCCCTCACCCAGGACTCCTCCTCTTGCTCTCTGACCAGCTTGCTAGAGTCCTCTGCGATCATAGAGAACAGCGACAAACAGGCTGGACAATGTCCCTGACGGTTGAGTGGTTTTGTTTCGTTGGTTTTTTTGGAGCGGGGAGAACAGGTCACCAGCCCACTTTAGATTCCAGAGTTGTAGAAATGAGGGTGTCAGAGGCGAGAGAAGCCCATTTCATGGCCTGCAGGGGGACAGATCATCTTGTGTATCAGGAACAGAGTCTCAACTGGGTTTTGCTGTCCCAGAAACAGAACCAAGGGCAGATTCTCTCCCCATTGAAAGACGCTGGTGGGAAAGTGAAGATCAGGACCTTGTCGTCAGCACTGAAAAATGCCACCTGCCCCTCGTCACAGTCCAGACAAACCCGGATCCTGCTGGGGACCTGGCCCAGGGACACTGTGGTCTCAGGGGAGGTGCGAGCCTTGTATTGATCCCCCTGCAGCCACTGCACAGCCCAGACCCCCTCCTCAGGGTTAAAACTGAACCACCCCTTCCTCCTCACAGACTCTCTGGCCACCCCCACAGCCCAGCATCGCCCATCCCCCACCTCCACCTCCCAGCAATGTCTCCCCGAGGTGAACCCCTCACAGGCCAGCACGCAGCGATTCCAGTCAAATCTCTCAGGGTTGTCGGGGAGTCGCTGCCGTGTCTCCCCGCATCTCACACTTTTCCGATCTGTGGACAGGACAAGTTGGGGATGAGCCGTGTCTGGATCCAGAGTCACTGGGGGGAGAGAGAATCAGAGCGTGAGGGGCAGAGCTCAACCCTGGGGGGAGGATGGGACCATTTCTCACACTCCCCAGCAGCCCCGTCCTGGCTGGGACCCTCCCTGATTTCCTGCCTCTCTGTCCCGGGTCTCAGGGAGCTGCCTCTGTGCTGGGGCTGAGCAGGGATTTCACCGTGGCTCCCACCTCCCAGGGCCAGTTATAGCTGCAGACTTGGGGGAGGGATAGCTCAGTGGTTTGAGCATTGGCCTGCTAAACCCAGGGTTGTGAGTTCAATCCTTAAAGGAGCTATTTAGGGATCTAGGGCAGAAATTGGGGATTGGCCCTGCAGGGGGTTAGACTAGATGACCTCCTGAGGTCCCTTCCAACCCTGATATTCTATGATCTCGATCTTCTACCCTGCTCCCCATGCTGTGGCTCCCCACTCCCAGCCGCAGGGACTGGGCAGGGCAGGCAGCAGAGCCTGGGGTGGGACCAAAGAGGCATCAGCCTCAGCCGCCTCTTGGGGAGACACCCCCAGTCAGAGGGAATCAAGGAGCCAGCAGAGAGGGGAGCGCAAACCCCAGTGCAGCTGGGACAAGGGAAGGAGGCAGTAGCTCTGGGTGGAAGGAGGCAGCAGGGAGTTGGTGGGTATGCCAGGACAGGTCCCCTAACCCATGGGGAATGGGAGAGGAGGAGGCAGTGTCCACGGAAGACCTCACAAAGACAGAGAGGATGGAGGGGCCTAGTTGGCAACCCAAGAGCCCAGGGGAAAGGGAGAGGTGGGACCCACAGGGAGAGACAGAGAAGGGGGCCATGTCCTATGGACACTCCGAGAGAGGGTCAGACCAGGCCCCCACCCCCACTCAGCATAACAGAGGAGACAGTGCCCTCATTCAGTCAGTACACTTCACAACAATTAAGGGGTTAATAATATATTGGAGTGCTCAAGGCCAGCCCCCTCCCCTGCAATGCTCACTCTCTATGGATGGGGGACTCTCTTTTGTTCGATCTCAGAAGCTTGTTCCTCAAATGAATCCAGTGCCACAAACACAAACTGTCTTTTTCTCTCAATCCATCTAAAACCCGACTCATAACACTACCCCCCCCCTTTTGCCAGAGATCCACTTACTTGCTGTCTGCAGTTTAAACACCAGAGCATCTTGGGAGGAGAGGGAGAGAAAGAGATTTCATGGTATCAAAATTATGTTTCATGCAGGATTTCTACAATTAATCAGAATAACTGTGCTTTAGTTCTGAGCCACGAACAGAAGGGAAAAGGCAGGGAGACCCAGAGAGAGAGATAAAGAGAGAGACATAGTGTAAAATTCGCCCATATGGACATGGGCCACTCTCAAGCTTATGGACCCTTTCTGCACTAATAACATGGTTATAAACATAGCTTATGTGGCATTCAGTGTACCTCGTCTTTCTACAAGAGAAAATTCATAGACAGCTCAGACTGGAATGAAACAGACTTAGGAAGAGAAGATGGAGCCCTTTGTATTAGCACAGAGTTTCATTCAACCAAGTACTTTGCAGTCCTCAAGAATTAGGGCAAACAAAGTGACAACGAATCACATTCAGACTACTGTTGTTCCTCCATAAATATCGTATATCTAGGGAAAAAATGTCTTCATAAATTCAAAACTTTGTTTATACTTCTTCCATGTTCTTAAATTGAATTTTACATTCACAGCTAATTGGACACAGCCCGTTTCCTCCAACCTTCACAGAGACCAGTCTCCATTTTCCTTTTTCAATCCCTGCTCACTACCTTGGAATTTCTTCAGAGTCTCCTTTACCCCAATGTTTTCTGGGGTAAAATCACCAAGTCTCTTTGCCAGATCAGGAGAAATCTCCACTGGCTGCTGGAACTTCCCCTGCTCGCACCTGGAGAGAAACAGAATTCTCTAATTAACTGATTGTAAATCACGATTTTATCCGCATCTCACATGAATTTCATGCCAGCGAAAGCTGCTGGACTGCAGGGCCTGGAGGCTGGACTGTTCTATGTATCCCGGCCTCAGAGCAGGTACCGCTCAGGCAATGGCAGCACAAGCTTCACCCACAGCGGCCCAGTTTGTTTCTAGCATGACCCGGGGAGACAACATCGAGGGGAAGTGGAGCAGGGAGATGGGCCAACAAGCTGCATTGACTCTGCTAAGCTTTGTGGTGTGGACACCTGCTCAGTCAGAAATGGATGGAGACCACTAACCCCAAATCACCTCATGCAGGGCGCCAAACGGACATAAGCTGAACATATTAGAACACCGCTGCTCTGGAAGGGTCCATATTCCCGTTCCCTGGGACACAAGAGATTTCATGAATCTATTCGGGTCGATTAACTTGCCCTCATGCTTCATCATCTCAGCATCTCAAATAAAGAGCATCAATCCCAGGAGTAACGTCAGCAGAGGGGAGATTTGGATCTGAGGGGTGACCCTGCCCCACACAGCTGGCCATGGTGCCCTGAGGAGATGAGGGCGTCGCATGGCGCTCAAGCCCCTGCCCCACAGAGTGATGTGTCCCTGAGAGTGAGACAGAGCCACGTACCTGCTCAAGGTGCTTCTGATGTCCTGGGGGGGGAGGGGGGAGAGAGAACAAAGAGCTCAGTTACGAGTGATAACCAAGAGAAGGACGTCGGCCAATGGAAAAGAGGGTGGAGTGGGCCACACTGTGATCCTGGTTCAGGGGTCTTGGTGGTGTCATGGGGAGAGCGGCAGCTGGCCTGGGATGATTTCCAAAACAAAGTCCCCCTTTCTCTCCGTGAAATGGGGATCACATTGTTTAAATAATATTTCCCTGCCTCATGAGCGGTAGATGAAGTCATGTGTGTTATTAACGGGCTCCGCTCCCCCAGTGATGTGGGCCTTAAGTGGACCCAGAACACTATAAAAAAGACCATTAAAATCTAAACCCTACAAAGGGGCCCCTCTCCCGGGATCCCTCAATCCTAACAACACAAGACTGATGGCCCATCTGCCCCGTGTCCTGTTTTCTGACAGATGCTTCAGAGGGAATGAACAAAACAGAGCAAACTCAAGTGATCCATCCCCAGTCCCAGCATCTGGGAGTGAGAGCTTTAGGGCCACCCAGAGCCTGGGGTTGTGTCCCTGACCATCTTGGCTAACAGCCATTTATGGACCTGTCTTCCATGAACTGATCTAATTCTTTTTTTACTCCACTTATACTTTTGGCCTTCACACCATCCCAGGACAACGAGGTCCACAGGTTGACTGTGAGGTCTATGAAGAAGCACTTCCTTATGTGTGTTTTGAACCTGCTGCCTATTAAATTTCATTGGGTGACCCCTGGTTTCTTGTGTAATGGGAAGAGGTAAAAAACATTCCCGTTCACTTTCTCCGCACCGGAATGAGTTTATAGACCTCCACCATATCCCCTCTTAGTCACCTCTTTTCTAAGCCGAACAGTTCCAGTCTTTTTAATCTCTGCTCAGGTGGAAGCTGTTCCAGACCCCTCATCAAATTACTAATAATACAAAAGAGAATAATAAAACAGAAGCAAGTGGAAGTGATTGTAAACCAGCGAATTCACATTTTAACAGTAGTTCCTAACAATTAAATGAGGTACCATTAAAGAGAGAGCGAGAGAGAGGATTCCTATGTAAAAACTAGAAATAGTGAGTTCCACTGTAGTGTTAGGATCCTGCACTCCAAGCCACATGGGTCTCCCCGTTCATCCATTTCCCAAATATCCCCAAGGCTCTGAGGTCTCACCTGCAGGAATTCACTCGCTGGCTGTTGGCACTTCCCCTCCATCTCGCTGATCAGCTCACTGAGACGGGAAATCTCCGCGGAGAGTTTGGTGATATTTTCATCCTGCAGCTTCACAATCTCCTTCTCCAGCTCTCCCAGCCGGGCCAGCAAGAGTCGCTCTTCTTCCTCCAGAAACTGGTGCAGCTGCTTAAATTGAGACACAATTTTCTCTCTCTCAGCATCTGTCTTTCCCTGTAAAGAAGAGGCACAAACAGGGAAAAGGCACATCAAGGACACACCGAGAGGCAGGGGAGATTTCACAGAGCCCTGTGTCAGCAGGAGGGGGAATTTCTAAATATTCAGCACCTCAAAAGCAGACAGAAACTTTCCCCATGTGACCAGAGACATTTTCCTAGAAAGTCCCACCTCGCCCTAAATTCCCTTCCCATCTCACATGGCTTGTTTCTCTTGTGATCAGTGACCTGTGACAATCTCAGTCCTTCAAACAGTAGAAAGGGCAGGATTCAGAGGTACGTGAGCAGAGACTTCCTGAGAGAGACTGAACGGGGTAAAGAAAACACAAAATAAGAAAACAAACTAAAACTCCTAAGTTTCACTTAGGAAGCTCCAGATATTCACATTACTCGGAGGGATGCTCAGCCACACCTCGGAAGAGACTAACTGTATTAGTGCAGAAATCAGGATCTCTAGTGCAGCCCCAGCCCATAAATGTATACCATGAAATCAAGAATGAAGCAAAGACAAACACAGCTCTGAAATCAAGGGAATGCAGAGTTAAGGTCACGCCTCCCATGCACACTGCCACCCAACCTTAACTCTGTCCCATTTCTGCAGCTGCTGGCTACCACTCCGCACCCTGGCTTGAGGTGCACCTGTCTCCTGGAGCATGCTCACATCACTTTCCCATGTGGATATCCAAGATGTATGAGTATTTACAGAGCCTGAAAGAACCTCTTATAACTTCTAAGATGCTGCTTCCCTGGTGTGGCCCTGGAGCCGGTCGCCAGCCAAGGTGAAATCCATTCAGACCCAGCTCAGTTTGGGGCTGATCGGTGCTATGATCTGAGCCATAGGTGGGCACAGAAAAGTTATGAGAATGGGAAACAAATTGAACGTCAGGTTATTTTTGCCTGAGCCCTTCACCTCTGCAGCCCCTTGGCCACTTGACTCCTGATTCAGTCCAATAACTCTGTCTCAGGCCTGGATGGGGCACCGTGATTTTCCAAGACAAGGTCAGGATGCAGGTGGGTTTTAGAGCACTGTGAAAACATCAGTGCTTAGCATGAGAGCTTGGCTGTCGCTCAGCTATTGACTCTCTAGTGCTCATCTATAAGAGAGAGACGAGGGGTTGAGGTGATCTCTTTGATTGGAGCATCTTCCGTCAGAGAGAGAGAGAAGCTTTCGAGCCACCCAGAGCTCTCCAGCCCAGACCTCAAGAACAGCTTTGGGTAGTGTACAAGCTTGTCTCTCTCACCAACACAAGTTGGTGCAAAGATCTAACCTCCCCCTCTTGTCTCTCCAATATCCCGGGACCGACATGGCTACAACTGCACTGCACAGGGTGAAAAAGACAGTGTTTTGCAGACACAGACAAAGATCAAGCCTGAGGCCGAGCCCAGCAGGCCTCTCTGACATCTGGGGATGGACCATTAACACAGCCTTGGCACTACCAGAACTGAAGGGAGGAGGTCGGGCCATGACCCCACATCCCGTCCATCCCGGGCAGAGGGGAGCACAGGCTGCACCTGCTGCTGGATTCGATCAGCGTCTGCCCTGTCCCAGGGCTGCCCATTGCTCCTGGGGAATCTGCCCCAGAGCCAGGCAAGGAGTCCCAGTCCCACCCCAGCCCACAGAGGGGAACAGAGCCCTGGTCTACATTGAGGGGGGCGGGGGTATCGATCTAAGTTACGCAACTTCAGCTACGTGAATAATGTAGCTGAAGTTGACGTACTTAGATCGACTTTCACCGCGGTGAGTCGTCTGCTGCCGCTCCCCCATCGACTCCGCCGGCGCCTCTCCTGGCGCTGGACTACAGGAGAGCGCTCGGGGGTCAATTTATCGCGTCTAGACTAGGGAGTAGCGAATCCAGAGGGTGTGAAGACGGACCCAGAGACAGACATGCAGAATCCCAAACCAGCAGCACAGGGACCCAGAGAGACACACAAATGTCCCACACTGCCCTTCATCCCCAGGGCCCTGCTGGGTAACACCACTGGGCACCTACCAGGTACTCAGAGCTTCTCTTCTCTCCAGTCAGTTTCCATCCCAGGAGCTTTTCTCTCTCTTCCTTCAGAGCCTGCAGTCGGGTCTGGAACTGTTCCTGGGCAAAGAGAAATGCGGGGGCGGAGGGAGTCATTTTTTTCTTTTGGAGCTTGAGGAGCAATTTTCTTTTGAAATTTCACTTCCCCCCACCCCGTATCCCCCGGCAATAACACCGGTGCATGGATGTAGCTTTCCAGTTTACTTAACCCAGCAGCAGACCGGGAGGGCACCCACAGGGCAATGCACAGGCCAGGCCAGGGACGCTGCAGGAACTGGGGGCAAGCAGCAAGCAGCAGAAGAGAACTAGTTCACTCTGACACCTGGGGGCTAGGAGCACAAACTGGATCCAGGCAGCCAGTGCACAAACTCTAGTGCAGAGGTGGGCCAACTACAGCCTGCAGGCCACATCTGGCCCACAGGACCCTCCTGCCCGGCCCTTGAGCTCCTGGCCCAGGAGGCTAGTCCCCGGCCCCTCCCCCGCAGCCTCAGCTCACTGCGCAGCCAGCGCAAGGCTCTGGGCGGTGGGGCTGCGCGCTCTTGCCAGGCAGCGCAGCTGCAGGGCCGCGGCCTGACCCGGGGCTCTGTGCTGCGCGGTGGCGTGGCTGGCTCCAGCCGGGCACCCCGGCTGCCTGTCTTGGTGCTCTCGGCGGTGCGGCTGTTGCGTTGCCAGCCACCGGGGCTCCAGGCAGCGCGGTAAGGGGGAAGGGGGAGTGGGCTAGAGGGCAGGGGAGTTCGAGGTGGTGGTCAGGGGACGGGGCTGTGGATAGGGGTCAGGGCGGTCAGAGGGCGGGGAATAGGGGGGGTTGAATGGGGGCAGGGATCCCCGGGGGGGGGCAGTCAGGAAGGAGAGGGAGGGTTCGATGGGGCGGCGGGGGGCACTCAGGGGTGGGGAGTCCGGTGGCAGTCAGGGGACTGTGAGGGGTGGATGGGGCAGGGGTCCTGGGGGGGTTCATCAGGGGGCAAGGGCCAGGCCATGCCTGGCTGTTTGGGGAAGCACAGCCTCCCCTAACCGGCCAGCCATACAATTTTGGAAACCCGATGTGGCCCTCAGGCCAAAAAGTTTGCCGGCCCCTGTAGCACTGGCCTCTCAGTGTGTTCAGTGAAGATCTCTTTCCTACAACTCTGCTCTCAGATTGCTGATCCGAGTAAAACAGATGGTGCCAGGTTTGCTCCAAAAATTCCTCATCTGTCCTCCAGTCAGGAGCTCTGACTGCACCCCTGCCTCACCTCGCCTCCACCAGCATCTTTTGGGGACCAAGAAGCAAGTTATTTCTCTGGTGGTTTGAAATGAATGAAGCAGAGCGTGGGAGGATAAATTCCCGCAGTCTGACTGAATCTTTCCAAAGATCGCAGGATTTAAGAACGGTGGGGGCTGGCAGTGCTGGTTCCGGTGTGTCCCGCTCAGCAGGAACGTGTGTTGGAACAGAAATATTCGCTGAGGAAAAGGGCATCACAAGATAATGAATATTTTTCCCCACCCACTCCTGGAAATTGGTCCTCAAGTCAGAGCAGAGATCCATGTGTAAGGTTCAAAATCTTTATCACAACACTGTAGTTAGCAAAAAAACATCCTTTATGACAGCAGGAAATGACACTAGAGGTCAGGTGACACGAGAAGGAAACCCAAACATTGGAAAGCCTGGGGACCCCCAGGTATGGCCGCAGGCTACGTGACCTCTGCATGAGCAGCTCTACTCTGGGCCTGGAAATATATCTGAAAAACCCCATAGGTACAAACACTGACGCCGGGCGGAGATTTCCTACCTTGTACTCCTGGGCAGCCTCCTCTATGGGAACCCCCGTGTGAGATCTGTGAGCCTTGGATTTATCACACACCAGGCAGATGGGGGTTTCATCCTCCTGGCAGAAGAGTTTCAGGGCCTCCTGGTGCCTCTCACACACTCGCTCCCCTCCTGAGCCTTTGGCTGCCTGGAAACTCAGCCCTCTGGCTATTTCGATAACTCTCGCCAGTTCCCTGCTGGGCCTGAAGTTTCTCTGCTGGGCGGTTTCTCTGCACTGGGGGCAGGAGAAGTTGGGCTCCGACTCCCCCCAGCACTGGCTGATGCAGTCTCTGCAGAAGTTGTGCCCGCAGTGGATAGACACCGGCTCTTGGAAATACTCCAGGCAGATGGGACAAGAAAGTTCATCCCGGAGACTTTCTGCCTTGCTCTCTCCAGCCATGGCTCCCGGCTGGAAGGGGAACACAAAGCTCGTTTGAATTTCCAGCGTCTGGGACAGGAATTGGGTGTTTCCCTTCCTGGCTCTGTCTCATTGGCGGAGCTAGAATCAGCTGGGGCTGTGAGTTCTCCCCGCCCCTGGGGGCTCTGATGAGAAACCTGACCCTCTCTCTGCTGGGAAGAGTGTTCATCTCAAAAATAAGCTGAGTTAAAAACCTGCCTTCCTTTTCTCTTCTTTTAATTTAAGAGCATCTACAAGCAAGCAAGCAAGCAAGCAAGAAAGCGAGTGATTAACTCGTGACCACGGCTGTACACTGACAGAGCTCCATTTAAGTCAATGAAGCTACACTGATTTACTCCCCCTGGAACTCTTGCCCATTCACTCCAATGGAGCAACACCGATGTGCACCACAGGGAGATCTGGCCCTCTTCATTGAATGAGATGAGTACACACTTAGTGGCAGGGATGAATTTGGTCCATTGCCCTTAAACGGAAATGGCTACAGCTACCCGTGGACAGGCTGGCCCATATGTCTTGGCTTCATTCAGAATGTCTGAGACATGATCGCTTGCCCCTAGTTTGTGTGTTGTTTTTTTCATTCCACCACCTGTCTTTGCCCAAATCCCACAGGCTTTCATAGCCATTTGCTGATTGATCTGAACAGCAGGAGACTGGAGTCTGATAGGACTTCTCTCTCCTCCAGCCTCACCTTCCCCATCTCCTGCCTGCTCATCCTAGGGGCTCGCCCCATGGCCACTAGCTCACAAACCTGCAGCAAGCTGGCTCTCTATGAATCCTATTGAAAGAATTGCAGAGGAGAAACCTCAGGGCAACAACACGGAAAAGCAAAGCTGGAGGAGACAAGGGCAGTGCTAGGACACACCCCCTCTCGTTGGCTTTATGTGGTTATTTCATACATTGGCTTAGTGCAAGAGATCTTGTCCCTCTAGTGGCCAGCCCCAGTCACGAACAACCAACTCATGGCTCGCAGCTCAAACGAGTTACTGCTTTAAGGCAAGGGGTCTGGGCTTGTGATTTCAGGGCTGAAATTCACGCTTTAGATCCCCACTGGTAACTGTGACATGTGTGTGTCAGGACGCCATTTTATAGAGCACACACCATATGTGCAAGGTCTCATCAAACAGACCATGATGCTCTTTTGTTTCTGAATGTGGCCAGTAGAGGTACCGAACAACTACGCATGTGACCCTGGTCTATGAGAAGTTTGGACCAGTAACCGGCTACATGTCACTGTACTGTCTGAATGCTTGATGCACCTGGGCTGGGAAATTCGGATCCAACAGACAATGGATGAAAGCACCTGAATGTGGCCTAGCAGAGACATGATCATTACTATTGTTGCAATTCCAGAAGGGTTGCTTTTGTTGCAATTCTAATGGCCTGTAACCCACCTCGACCCCACCGTGCATGTCAGTAAAAAGCAAACAAACCCAACACTGGTAAATCAAGTCGTTCTGATGGCTCCTGGTTTATTGCTATATTTTCCCCCGCAGGAGACAAGAGAAATCATTGTGAGACACAAAAATTTCAGCATCTTTACAGCTATGAAGATACAGAATCCACTTGGTGAAAAAACAAAAAAGCCGGCAGCAGTCAATGATTTATGGGAACCATAAAACACAACCTCCATGGGCTTGATATAAAAATAGCTTTGTTAAATTCTAGAAAACCCTCATCAAAAGTGATGACTAACCATTTTCTCTTGCCACTCCCCTGCCCCAAAGATTTGCCACCTGTACTGTTCTCCCTCACCCAGGACTCCTCCTCTTGCTCTCTGACCAGCTTGCTAGAGTCCTCTGCGATCATAGAGAACAGCGACAAACAGGCTGGACAATGTCCCTGACGGTTGAGTGGTTTTGTTTCGTTGGTTTTTTTGGAGCGGGGAGAACAGGTCACCAGCCCACTTTAGATTCCAGAGTTGTAGAAATGAGGGTGTCAGAGGCGAGAGAAGCCCATTTCATGGCCTGCAGGGGGACAGATCATCTTGTGTATCAGGAACAGAGTCTCAACTGGGTTTTGCTGTCCCAGAAACAGAACCAAGGGCAGATTCTCTCCCCATTGAAAGACGCTGGTGGGAAAGTGAAGATCAGGACCTTGTCGTCAGCACTGAAAAATGCCACCTGCCCCTCGTCACAGTCCAGACAAACCCGGATCCTGCTGGGGACCTGGCCCAGGGACACTGTGGTCTCAGGGGAGGTGCGAGCCTTGTATTGATCCCCCTGCAGCCACTGCACAGCCCAGACCCCCTCCTCAGGGTTAAAACTGAACCACCCCTTCCTCCTCACAGACTCTCTGGCCACCCCCACAGCCCAGCATCGCCCATCCCCCACCTCCACCTCCCAGCAATGTCTCCCCGAGGTGAACCCCTCACAGGCCAGCACGCAGCGATTCCAGTCAAATCTCTCAGGGTTGTCGGGGAGTCGCTGCCGTGTCTCCCCGCATCTCACACTTTTCCGATCTGTGGACAGGACAAGTTGGGGATGAGCCGTGTCTGGATCCAGAGTCACTGGGGGGAGAGAGAATCAGAGCGTGAGGGGCAGAGCTCAACCCTGGGGGAGGATGGGACCATTTCTCACACTCCCCAGCAGCCCCGTCCTGGCTGGGACCCTCCCTGATTTCCTGCCTCTCTGTCCCGGGTCTCAGGGAGCTGCCTCTGTGCTGGGGCTGAGCAGGGATTTCACCGCGGCTCCCACCTCCCAGGGCCAGTTATAGCTGCAGACTTGGGGGAGGGATAGCTCAGTGGTTTGAGCATTGGCCTGCTAAACCCAGGGTTGTGAGTTCAATCCTTAAGGGAGCTATTTAGGGATCTAGGGCAGAAATTGGGGATTGGCCCTGCAGGGGGTTAGACTAGATGACCTCCTGAGGTCCCTTCCAACCCTGATATTCTATGATCTCGATCTTCTACCCTGCTCCCCATGCTGTGGCTCCCCACTCCCAGCCGCAGGGACTGGGCAGGGCAGGCAGCAGAGCCTGGGGTGGGACCGAAGAGGCATCAGCCTCAGCCGCCTCTTGGGGAGACACCCCCAGTCAGAGGGAATCAAGGAGGCAGCAGAGAGGGGAGCGCAAACCCCAGTGCAGCTGGGACAAGGGAAGGAGGCAGTAGCTCTGGGTGGAAGGAGGCAGGAGGGAGTTGGTGGGTATGCCAGGGCAGGTCCCCTAGCCCATGGGGAATGGGAGAGGAGGAGGCAGTGTCCACGGAAGACCTCACAAAGACAGAGAGGATGGAGGGGCCTAGTTGGCAACCCAAGAGCCCAGGGGAAAGGGAGAGGTGGGACCCACAGGGAGAGACAGCGAAGGGGGCCATGTCCTATGGACACTCCGAGAGAGGGTCAGACCAGGCCCCCACCCCCACTCAGCATAACAGAGGAGACAGTGCCCTCATTCAGTCAGTACACTTCACAACAATTAAGGGGTTAATAATATATTGGAGTGCTCAAGGCCAGCCCCCTCCCCTGCAATGCTCATTCTCTATGGATGGGGGACTCTCTTTTGTTTGATCTCAGAAGCTTGTTCCTCAAATGAATCCAGTGCCACAAACACAAACTGTCTTTTTCTCTCAATCCATCTAAAACCCGACTCATAACACTACCCCCCCCCTTTTGCCAGAGATCCACTTACTTGCTGTCTGCAGTTTAAACACCAGAGCATCTTGGGAGGAGAGGGAGAGAAAGAGATTTCATGGTATCAAAATTATGTTTCATGCAGGATTTCTACAATTAATCAGAATAACTGTGCTTTAGTTCTGAGCCACGAACAGAAGGGAAAAGGCAGGGAGACCCAGAGAGAGAGATAAAGAGAGAGACATAGCGTAAAATTCGCCCATATGGACATGGGCCACTCTCAAGCTTATGGACCCTTTCTGCACTAATAACATGGTTATAAACATAGCTTATGTGGCATTCAGTGTACCTCGTCTTTCTACAAGAGAAAATTCATAGACAGCTCAGACTGGAATGAAACAGACTTAGGAAGAGAAGATGGAGCCCTTTGTATTAGCACAGAGTTTCATTCAACCAAGTACTTTGCAGTCCTCAAGAATTAGGGCAAACAAAGTGACAACGAATCACATTCAGACTACTGTTGTTCCTCCATAAATATCGTATATCTAGGGAAAAAATGTCTTCATAAATTCAAAACTTTGTTTAAGTTTCTTCCATGTTCTTAAATTGAATTTTACATTCACAGCTAATTGGACACAGCCCGTTTCCTCCAACCTTCACAGAGACCAGTCTCCATTTTCCTTTTTCAATCCCTGCTCACTACCTTGGAATTTCTTCAGAGTCTCCTTTAGCACAATGTTTTCTTGGGTAAAATCACCAAGTCTCTTTGCCAGATCAGGAGAAATCTCCACTGGCTGCTGGAACTTCCCCTGCTCGCACCTGGAGAGAAACAGAATTCTCTAATTAACTGATTGTAAATCACGATTTTATCCGCATCTCAGATGAATTTCATGCCAGCGAAAGCTGCTGGACTGCAGGGCCTGGAGGCTGGACTGTTCTATGTATCCCGGCCTCAGAGCAGGTACCGCTCAGGCAATGGCAGCACAAGCTTCACCCACAGCGGCCCAGTTTGTTTCTAGCATGACCCGGAGAGAAACGACATCGAGGGGAAGTGGAGCAGGGAGATGGGCCAACAAGCTGCATTGACTCTGCTAAGCTTTGTGGTGTGGACACCTGCTCAGTCAGAAATGGATGGAGACCACTAACCCCAAATCACCTCATGCAGGGCGCCAAACGGACATAAGCTGAACATATTAGAACACCGCTGCTCTGGAAGGGTCCATATTCCCGTTCCCTGGGACACAAGAGATTTCATGAATCTATTCGGGTCGATTAACTTGCCCTCATGCTTCATCATCTCAGCATCTCAAATAAAGAGCATCAATCCCAGGAGTAACGTCAGCAGAGGGGAGATTTGGATCTGAGGGGTGACCCTGCCCCACACAGCTGGCCATGGTGCCCTGAGGAGATGAGGGCGTCGCATGGCGCTCA